ATCTGCGCCTGTACTAGCGTGCCTCAATTTTTTACGAAGCGATTTTACCTACAAACAGATGCAGGTACTACAGGTCTGGGAGCCGTGCTTATTCAGAACTTCTCCGAGGGGGAGAGGATGATACGCGAGCCGAATGTTGAATCAGGCCGAGCGAAATTACAGCGCGACGGAGATGGAGTGCCTGACTACCGTCTGGAGCATACGCAGGATGCGGGACTACCTGAAAGGGTACCCGTTTACCGTCATAACTGATCACCAATCCTTGAGTTGACTCCAAAAATTAAAAACGCCTTCAGGACGGCTGAGACGCTAGACCTTCGAGTTCCAGCAATACGATCTCGAGATCCGATACCGGAAAGAGACGTTAAACAAAATCGCCGATGCACTATCGCGACAGTCAGTAACCGTAGCCGCAGTCAACACGCCCCGATGCTCATGGCACGTACTTCGTACGCGACTGTCCCAACGAATATCCCGATTACGAAATTCTCGACGGGAAGTTATACCGCCATCTATTTCACGATCTCGACTTCAAGGAGACCACCGCGGAATCATAGTGAAAAATCTGTGTTCCGAAAAAAAATTGGACAGAAGTCCTGTACAATAATCATGACAATGCGACTGCCGGGCATCTGGGCATCGCAAAAATCATTGCTCGGATCGTCCGGATTTATTATTGGCCGGAAATGATGAGGGAGATCGCGCGGTACGTGCGGGGCTGCCAAAATTGCCTGACGTATAAGGTGGCACAGGCGAAACCGGCGGAAACGATGCATGCCACGGCAGTAAATCGGCCATAGCAGCAAGTGACGCTGAATTTAGTGAGACCGCGTTCGAGGAAGGGCCACACGTGGCTGTTTAATATGCAGGGCACATTTTCAAAGTGAGTAGAATTACGCCCCTTTCTCCGCACCACCGTGGTCATCTCAAGCATCGCCGAGGCCATAATCTTCCGACACAGATGTCCGGATATCATCCATTCCGATAACGGCACACAACTCCGCTCGACGCAACTCGAAAAACTACTAAAAACATGCAATATTCGTCATACGTACACACCGATACACGCTCCGCAGTACAACCCCGTCGAACCGCAAAATAAAAATGATGCTAGCGTAGTTTGTGGATCGCAATCATAAGAACTGGGACGAACGCTTGCTAGAGATCTAATTTGCGTTTAATACCGCGCGCCACGAGGCCACAGAATACACACCGGCGTACTTGAATTTCAAGCGGGAATTCGCATCGCCCGTGAACGCCCGAGAAGCGCGAACGGAATTCGTGCCGCCGCCCGATACCACGTGCCGGTATCTCGAAGAGGGCCAGGAGCTGGTTAGATTAAATTTAACTCGCGCATTTCAGCAGAGACAGCAGAAGTATTATGACTTGCGACGACGCCCATGGAAGCCAACAATAGGAGAGTGGGTACAAGCGAGAATACCCGCTCTCAAATAAAGCCGCCACGTTCAACGCAAAGCTATCCAGGAAATTCGTAGGGTCGCTCGAGATACGTCGTGTGGTATCATCGACAATAGTCGACGTGCATGCAAAGAGCGGACGCTGGTACAGACACATACATGTGCAAGATCTAAAGCCCGCCCCGAATGAGCCATCGGGTAACGACGAGAACGATAACGTGAAAGGGGAGATCGATACCGACGGGGACTCCGAGAGAGAAGACAATGACATCGGGGAAGAGAGAGGGGCAGAAAGCAGTCAGGACCCCGTGCGTTAAAAACAAAGAAAGATCTAGAACAACCGAACGGAATATATCCCTACGAGATCAACAAACGATCTTTTTTCGTCTGTTTTTTCGTTATAATGGAGAACGAGTCCGAAGAAATAAGCCTCATCGATGCAATTAATGCCATCATCGAAGCGCTGAAGAAGTTCGATCCAGAAAATCCGGGCATGAAAAGACATGGGGATAGTAATCTCGGCGCAGGACATCAGCACATTGGCCAGTGTCGACCCGCTATCGAGACCACGGAAAATGCCCATAGCGAAGAACGGAGTACAACGATCGGACGGGGAGCTGGTGGTATGGCTCATCAGCCTTCCACCGTCGCGATCAGAAATGGATCGTCGACTGATAATCGAGCGACAAACAGGTCTGCAGCCGCGGGTCATGGGTCCGCTATCATTCCCATCAATTCATATGAAAATACAACCAGGACGGATCATGGATCGGAGGTTTCACATTTTTCAGCCCATGTGTCCCGCTAATTTAAAACAAGGCGATACAGACACAAGTGGAACATCCGTTTCAACCACAACGGATTCGTACGCTCGGTATGAAAGCAAGTACAAAAGTAGGTGTGCCTCAAATTCAGGCACTACCGGGAGAGGAGGTGATATAACGATGCGCCCCGAGAAACCGCATCATTCCCGGTCGAACATCAGCCAGATGCCGCTGTATGATATGCAGCGATATGGGCGCAGTGCACCCGAATAATTTTAAAAAATCGCAAACATTTGCAAGTACTAGCCGACGTTCCGCGAGAACGACCGAACACTGCCGAGCGCTACTCGCGACAGATTCCGGTACCGTCATACATGTGGGGATACCGCTTGGCGAGAATGTACGAACCGAACCGAGCTTCGCCGAATCCGCGGCGCTACCTTATCGATGTGAACCCGTGCCGCGTAGCATCCGTTCCGTATTACCGCGCCGCAATACCAACGCTCGATCCCGTGCATTCGAAATAGGATACGACACGCGTTGTCGTTATTATTTTCATTATTCACTTTATTTTATTATGTATTATGTTCAGAGCTATCTGTTTGTATTGTGTTGAATGTAATAAAGAGTATTTTGTTTTACTTTATTACACAGTTCTAGCGTTATTTGTAAGCGCCTCCTTTCTTCGTAAAGAACCTCTTTCGTTCCCGGCCCGATAAATTCGTCCTACGAGCTATTCCGCGCAATGGAAGTTAGGTTGTTTCAAATTATTGAAAATTAATATTTCATGACATTTAATCATTGATATCTTGTTAATTATCGCGAAAATTGCAAAATGATACACTTTTCAATTGCGTTTAGTCCGCTTCATCGTATGCGAGACTTTTATCGTTATTCACTAGGAGTGCATTAATTTTAAGAGATTTTTTGGTAAATATACGGCTTTATTGTGAAAAAATGGTTACAAATTGATCATTCAAAATATTATCCATCGCTAATCACTTTTTCTCATCTTTTTGATAATAGATGGATTTCACATCGAAAGAGTCACACATCTTTTGAGACTATCTACGAATCGACAATTTTTTGGTATCTTCATAAGAATGGAAATGCTGCTTAGACAGGCTATGAGTCATCGATCGAAATAAATGATAATCGGAAGGAGCAATATCTGAAGAATACGGCAAATGTGATAGGACATCCCAGTTAAGCGCTTCTAATGTTTCCTTGACCGGTTTCGCAACATGTGGCCGAGTGTTGTCGTGCTGGAGAATTACTTTGTCGTGTCTTTTCACGTAATTTGATCGTTTTTGCTTCAATGCTCGGATCAATTGCATCAATTGTTGATGGTAGCATTCCCCAGTAATGATTTCGTTGGAGCAGCTCATAACACACTACATCCAACCGATTCCTCCAAATACAAAGCATGAGCTTGGCGCCATGAATATTCGGCTTTGTCGTCGATGTTGGTGGTTCGCCTACATCAAGATTTTTTGCGCTTCGGATTATCGTATCCATTTTTCATCCGTCATGATATGTTTTCTTCGATGCAAATATGTTTTCTTTTATATCTTTGAAGCAACAATTTACAGATCATTTTGCGTCTTTCGACGTCCTTCGGCTTCGGGTACGACTCGTACAGTACCCAATTTCTTTGCTTTTGAATCATTCCAATGACCTTCAAATCTGGAAATCGTTGATCGATTAACATTTAATGATTCTATAAGTTTTTCTTGCGTTTGATTCGAGTAAAGCTTCCACTTCCTCATCTCCAAATTTTTTCTTTGTTGGCATGGACGTTCCTCGTCTTTCGTGTCAAAATCACCTTTTTTATAGTGAAAGTATTGAAATTAATGGAGTATAATTATCATAAGCTTCCGAGCATTTGTCGACTTTCAGCAGCACTTTTTTTTAAATGGAAGCAAAAAAGCAGAGCTTTCCGCAAATTGCGTTTTGTTGGCAAAAAATTCGACTTATTTAATGCTAAAAAAAAACAATGTTGTTTATACTTCGGCAAAATGACACATACTGAAAACTAAAGCCACATGATGGTGCTTTTGAACATAAAGGTAGCACCAAAATGGCGCGATGCGATAGTACCAGTTACGCCATCTCTTGAAAATTTTTTTAAATTAATATGCATACTCCCAATATTAAATATCTTGTATAATTATATAAAAAATTAACATATTTTATATACAATTACATACAATTATATATAAAATATGTCCATATATAGACAACATTTTTTTCGGGCAATTATAAAATTTATAACTGAATACAATTTCTTTTAATTTTATAATTTTCAATTATTATATATTTTAAATTTCATCGTTTGCATATACAAATTTTAGATACTGTATTAGGTGTTGGAATTAATTCGTAGCGTTTTTTAATGAAAGAATGTTATTTATTTCACATGAGCATTAAAAAATACATTAATGAAAGTACTTCCCATCACTTCCCATCTCTTGTAAAACGCTACGAATTAATTCCAACACCTAATAAATAAATCAAATGTACTTAACAACTTAATAACGTTAATATATTTACATAATTTTCAAGGAAAAATGTATCAAATAATTTTGTGGCATTACAAATAATAGAATATCTCGGAAAACAAAATATTTTGTTGTCATAAAATTTTATACTATATCTATTTAAATGTCTATGCCTTGCAGTTAATCTCCTAATGAAAAGAATATTTTCATAGATTTACGAACGCCTATATTTACTCGCTTGTATATTGTAATTATAGGTTAAAACAATTCTTTAATTTTCTGAAGAACGTTTTATTCTTTTTTATTTACAGATTCTGAAGAATTAATATATGACGACATCACCGAAGCTTTATTACGAGACGTTCCGTTCGAATAAATTTCTTCATAAATCTCGTAAACCTTACCGATTACGCTGGCACACAAACTTAAGATCAAATCATGGAAAAATAGTCTTCTTGTTACTTGAATTGAAGATGAACGTCTGTCAAGTGCGTCAACTAGTCGGAACTTCTATCACTTAATATCATCTCCCTATATAACTCTTTGATCAAGAAGAAAAACTAAAGAACGATCAACGCACAGTGGCGAAAATTGCCATTGTGCGAGCATGACCGCAAAACCAACATTCGCTCCGACGGAGATCTCTTCTTTCGACGTGACATCGTTATTAGATGTCACTTCGATCGAAGAGAATCCTCGTGCCAATAATACCGAGGTGAACGAAATGGAGATCAACTGGTCAGACATGCCCTCAGCAATCGTGAAGATCTGCATCCTCGGTTCAATCATCACCACAGCGTTGTTCGGTAATTTGTTAGTGATGGTGTCCGTAATACGGCACAGAAAGCTACGAATTATTACCAATTATTTCGTAGTCTCGTTAGCACTAGCGGATATGCTGGTGGCGATGTTTGCGATGACCTTCAACGCTAGCGTGCAGGTGACCGGCAAATGGCTTTTCGGCTATTTCATGTGTGACGTTTGGAATTCTTTAGATGTCTACTTTAGCACTAGCTCAATACTCCACCTAATGTGCATCTCGGTAGATCGATATTATGCGATCGTGAAGCCACTCAAATATCCCATCAACATGACGAAAAGAGTAGTGGCATTTATGCTATTAGCCTGTTGGGTGTCGCCGGCCATCATTTCCTTCGTGCCAATCTTCTACGGCTGGTACACTACGGAAGAAAACAGCGTGCATAGGCATAAGCATCCAGAACTCTGCGAATTTAAAGTCAACAGAATATATGCTATACTGTCATCAAGCATATCCTTTTGGATACCGTGTACCATCATGGCGGTCACATATTTTGCTATATTCAAAGAGGCTAACAAGCAAGAAAAGCAGATGCACAGCAGAATGGGTAACGCTATGTTGCTCAGTCACAGACCGAGTAAAGATCTTAATAATTTAAATGGTGAACTGAATAGCGCTGGATCGTCAAAAACTCTGACTTTAAATGAAATAAACACCGAGCATTTACATACACCGACAAAAGATAAACATATGATGAAGATGAAAAGAGAACACAAAGCAGCGAGAACGTTAAGTATCATTATGGGCACTTTCATCCTTTGCTGGTTACCATTTTTTCTTTGGTATGTGTGCTGTTAACAACTAATTTATAAATGAAATATTACATGTTAATGTGTTAAATTGCTAAAAATTAATTAATTTGCTGTATTCTTAATCATAATAGATTACTCTCTTTCTATTCAACAGATGAATTAAATCTATCAATACTTTATTTTTTTTAATGTATAATTGATTATATTGGTAAAATGCTTAACTTATGCAAATTAAACTGTTTAGTGATCTATTATGAAATAAAATAAAATTAGAAAAGTGATGATTCTCAATCAGAGAAAAAGTCAAAAATGTACTAAAACATTTTTCGCATGTAAAGTTCTTTTTAAAAAAAACCAATTACAAAAATCAAAAACATGAACGTTTTCAGTTACTTTCGAGACAAAATAACTTTTAACTATGTATACTTTAACTATGTACAACATAAATTATCTAGTGTATCGTCTATCGAAAGTATGATAGCCATTTATATCAACGTGTATCAAAAATATACGTGTCTATCAAAAATATAATAATTATATATAATAAAAAGTTTTTATATATTAAATAGAAAAAATTTATAGTTTCTACGAAAGTTAATTGTAAAAAAGGGAAATTAATTTTTTTATTAAAATGGATATTTTAATTTTATTTCATACAGATTCTAGTAAAAGACAAATGAGGATAACTAAGAAAATGAGAGAGAGAGAGAGAGAGAGAGAGAGAGAGA